TTTTTTTTTTTTTTTTAGAAATAGCCTTTGTGCACAGCCAGCCTTGTACTCTTCTAGGTTCAAAAAACCGTCTTCCATAAAATGCGTTGCACAAATTCGAACATCTGGGTTGTGCTGTTCTGTTGTAAATAAATCTTAACCAATGTTTCCTAATTGCATCTACTTCCGGAAGGCCAAATAAAGTGCTTTTGCTTTCGCACTGAAACACACAGCGTCTCCCTGACATGCTGCTTCAACACTAACTGCGGTTACTGAAACCACACCTTCTTTCTTTGCGTGCACATTTGGGCAGTATGCTCATATATTTACACATAGTGACGTAGACATGTGGGGGCGTGTTACAACGAGCCGTTTTTGGTAGGCGTCGTTGACTCTTAACTTTTATAAAGAATATCTCTTTGGATTTGAGACTTTAGTCTTTGTAACTTTACAGATCTTCTTTATGCACCAAGAGCTTGTAACACTCCAAAGAGAAAGGACAAATTGAAATCGTATCATATGACTCCCTTAATATGTTTTTGAAAGAAGTCTCTTATGCTCACTAAGGCTGCATTTACTTGATCCAAAAATACAGTAAAATTGTGAGATATTATTACAATTTAAACTAACAGTTTTCTATGTGAATATATTATAAAATGTAATTTATTCCTGTGATCAAAGCTGAATTTTCAGCATCATTACTCCAGTCTTCAGTGTCACATGATTCTTCAGAAATCAATCTAATATGCTGCTTTGCTGCTCAAGAACCAAATTCAAGACCTTATCCAACACAATAGATGTACTTTATTAATTATTAATGAACCATCTGTTTTGATATCAGTTTAAATGTCCGTGATCGATACATCGGTGCATCTCTAGTGGTCTAATTTGTAGTGTTGACTGTATACTGTAATATATATCTCTTTATTAGACACTTGACCCGCCTAAATACTCATGTTCCATTATCTAAACATCCTGCTACTCTATTCTGTTGACATTTCATTGGTATCAAACCGCAGCTCTGTTTTTGATGCTGAGCCAATATCAAAAACACACACACACGGAGCATAAAAACAGCGGCGGCCCTCATATCTCCTAAATATTTGATATATTTCTGACCTTCTTGGAGGAGAAAATGCTCAGACTTTGTGTTTGAGGACATGATGAATGCATGTTGTTCAGCTCGTGATGGTCTGTTCAGACAAAAGGGAGCGTCCCGCAGAAGTTAATGGCCGTGTGCTCTTGTGAGTCGAGTGTGTAATGATTCACTGCCGACGGGGCTGAAATGCAAATACCCAACTTCTTGTTCTTGATCTTTTTCCATATTCAATAAAAGGTTTCATAAAAGAACACAAAGGTGTTTAGGCACTTTATCATTTACAGTTGAAACTGCTCTAAGCGAAGTACTTCATCTTTTAAATTGAACAACTCCCTTAGTTCTGGGACTCATAAATACAAGTTCAGCAGGAGTTTTCCTTTCAGATATGTTTCTAGGAACTTCGAAACTCCTTGATATCTCTGATGTCCTGAGAAATAGATATGTCTTGGTTCATTTTTATATTTTAGTCAAATCAGATTGACCTTTGTATTTTCTGCTCTTAAAGACCTGTGATGTGTGAAGGTTGAAATCAAGACGAGCCACAGTTTGATGCCAGTGAGAGCTTATGATCTTTTCACAGAATGTTCTTTACCTTATGAAGGATGATTTTACATAGAAAACCAAATAAATCACCAAAAAATGACTTTCACAGCCAGGGTCACATTTAATAAAAATGTATGTGAAACAGTATGTATTATGCACAGTGTTGGAGGAAACGAGTAGCACAAGTTATGTAATAAGATTACTTTTTTCAGGTAACTAGTAGGGCCTTTGCAGTTGCCAAAAATACAACTTTTGGATTTTTTATTATTAAAAATAAATAAGCAAGCTCAGCTCAGGTGACAAAAAGTAACACAGAAGTAACGTAATGCATTACTTCCCAACAAATGTAACTAAGTATCACAATTAGTTACTTTATGGAGTACCGCAATATCATAACAAATTACTTTTAAAAGTAACTTTTTATGCATTCAAACACTATTTTTTGTCACGTGACCTCAAGTGGCATCCTGTTTAGTTGTGCACACATTCATTTCAGCCCCAGGCTAGTCATGTAGGAGTGAAATGTTCACAGTGTCGCTCTTATCAAACCAACCTCGCGCTGGTGTGCTTCTCAGGTTTTTAAGCGCTCTGGCGGTGCTAGCGGAGCGGCCCGAGTTGGTGGAGCGTGTGATGATCACCAGAACCATATGCCAGGAGGGAGCGTATCAGGTGCGTCTCTGTAAAGACGGGACGTGGACCACGGTTCTGGTGGATGACATGCTGCCCTGCGACGAATACGGATTCCTGCTCTTCTCACAGGTTTGTGTTGCTGCGCTTGAGTTTGTTTGTTAGGACTGATTTTATAAGTGCTTGCAATTAATAGACTAATCATGATTATTTGAGATAACTGCCTTCAATGAGCAGTTTCAACTTTCAAATATTGTCATCCAAAGTAAATAATTGCAAATTTTTTACCTACAGTACCAAACAACCAGAGGTGGCGAAAAATGAATTGTAACAGCAAATAGTTTTGATACATACATATTGGAACCAGATCTACATTTATCTGAAAAATAAAGACAACATTTCTTTTTAAATTAAATTTAAATTTATTTTTTTAATTAAATGAAATAAAGAATTGCATGTTTTTACTTACTAAACAATGTCATGTAGCAATAAATTATAAGTCAATTGTAAAATAATTATGTAATATTTTGAATAATAATTATGTATGCTATTATTGATTATTATTATATATATGCAAATATTTTAGACCTTTGCTGGAAAGTATTTAATAGATTGTTTAAAAAAAGAATGTTCTTTACATTATGAAGGATGATTTTATGTAAAAAAACAAATAAATCACCAAAAAATGACTTTCGCAGCCAGGGTCACATTTAATAAAAATGTATGTGAAACAGAATGTATTATGCACAGTGTTGGAGGAAGTGCATTGCAAGTAACATGAGTTATGTAATCAGATTACTTTTTTCAAGTAACTAGTAAGGCCTTTACAGTTGCCAAAAATACAGCTTTTGGATTTTTTATTATTAAAAATAAATAAGCAAGCTCAGCTCAGGTGACAAAAAGTAACACAGAAGTAACGTAATGCATTACTTCCCAACAAATGTAACTAAGTATCACAATTAGTTACTTTATGGAGTACCGCAATATCATAACAAATTACTTTTAAAAGTAACTTTTTATGCATTCAAACACTATTTTTTGTCACGTGACCTCAAGTGGCATCCTGTTTAGTTGTGCACACATTCATTTCAGCCCCAGGCTAGTCATGTAGGAGTGAAATGTTCACAGTGTCGCTCTTATCAAACCAACCTCGCGCTGGTGTGCTTCTCAGGTTTTTAAGCGCTCTGGCGGTGCTAGCGGAGCGGCCCGAGTTGGTGGAGCGTGTGATGATCACCAGAACCATATGCCAGGAGGGAGCGTATCAGGTGCGTCTCTGTAAAGACGGGACGTGGACCACGGTTCTGGTGGATGACATGCTGCCCTGCGACGAATACGGATTCCTGCTCTTCTCACAGGTTTGTGTTGCTGCGCTTGAGTTTGTTTGTTAGGACTGATTTTATAAGTGCTTGCAATTAATAGACTAATCATGATTATTTGAGATAACTGCCTTCAATGAGCAGTTTCAACTTTCAAATATTGTCATCCAAAGTAAATAATTGCAAATTTTTTACCTACAGTACCAAACAACCAGAGGTGGCGAAAAATGAATTGTAACAGCAAATAGTTTTGATACATACATATTGGAACCAGATCTACATTTATCTGAAAAATAAAGACAACATTTCTTTTTAAATTAAATTTAAAAAAAATTTTTAATTAAATGAAATAAAGAATTGCATGTTTTTACTTACTAAACAATGTCATGTAGCAATAAATTATAAGTCAATTGTAAAATAATTATGTAATATTTTGAATAATAATTATGTATGCTATTATTGATTATTATTATATATATGCAAATATTTTAGACCTTTGCTGGAAAGTATTTAATAGATTGTTTAAAAAAAGTGTTTTAAGCATTGTAAAAATTGTAATATTTTAAATGAATTTATTATTTAAAAAAATCTCAAATGAATCCGCATGAGAAAAATAAGTAAACAAGATTAAAATGTTGTATTTATCGTAAAATAATTTAAAATAATTATGTATGCAGTTATTAGTGATTACGTATGCAAATATTTTAGACTGTTACTGGAAAGCATTTAAAAAGTTAGTGAAAAGTGTTTTAAACGTTGTAAAGATTTTAATATTTTAAATGAATTCAACTTTTATTTTAAATATTGTTATTACTGAATATAACTGTATACATTTTATATACTACTATTAGCATTAAAATGTTATTATGATTAAATATATAGAACCTAATTATATTTTAAAAAAATTATATTTAAATATTTTTGTTTACAAAGGCTTTTTATTACAAAGTAGTGTGTATAGGCAATTCTAAATTGTATTTTTGAAAAAAAAATTTTTTACTGCAAACATTACATCCCTGTTGGTTGCTTTACTTCCTGCTAATGGCTTGTGTTAATATTTTAATCTCTCTTTTTTTCTGTGTTTTTCTCTGGGACAGGCTCAGCGGAGGCAGCTGTGGGTCGCGCTGATAGAAAAGGCTCTGGCGAAGCTGCATGGCTCATATTTTGCGCTGCAGGCCGGTCGTGCCATCGAGGGTTTGGCGACGCTCACTGGCGCCCCCTGTGAAAGTCTGATGCTGCAGGTCAGCTCAACCAACCCCCGTGAAGAGCCCATCGACACGGACCTCATATGGGCTAAAATGCTCAGCTCCAAGGAGGCGGGGTATGGCGACATGCTCCAGATTATTAGACTAATTGTCCTGTAATTTGAGCTCTGTAATTTATTCACTGTGCTCTGGACTCGCTAATTTCAAGGCACATTATAAGATGACAAGGCATCTTTTGTCCTTTGTAATAAAGGCAAAAAGCCAATAAATGAATTAAAAGAAAAGGCCTCTAAAGTGCATTACTACAAATTGGATCAATACAAAGTATTTCTGGGCTACTTGGCAATTACAGGACGATTAGTGTCCACATACTAGCATTAGTTATACATACAGTATCAGCAGAATAATGCAAATTATATTGCAAAATATTGATAATGATATTAATTTATAAGTATTATGTCTATAATTATTATTGTAGAATTTATATCTAAAAGACACACTGTTGGATATTTTCAACCATTATTTAAAAGTTGTTGTAATCATTTTATATGAAGTAATTAAACTAATATAAACTAAAATATTTGTTTATTAATTTTCTGTCCATCTGTTTATTTGTGATTCTGATTCAAATTTATATTTGATTTTGAATCTAAAAATTGGAATAAAAATATTATTCACAAAATAATAATAATAAATGATTCAGCTAAAAATATAAATAAACAAGGTTAAAATGTTGTATTTTGAGTTTTATGTGCTGTAAAGTTATTTGTTAATTTGAATATTCATATGGTATTTATATAGCAGGGTTTGTATGTATTATAGTTAACTAAAATCATTCAAAAAAACGTATTTTTACTTTTTTAATTAAATACAAAAATAAATGTGTTTTAGTTTTCAAAATGTACTTATTTTCATTTTGTTTAGCTTGATGTACTAAAATAACTACAACTGAAATAAAATGTAATAAAAACTATAAAGGCATATTTAAAAATAAAAAATTACCAAAAATGCACAATAAAATACTAAAAATGTAACTTAAATTTAATTGCTAATGGACTATATGTAAACTAATTCAAAATTATGAAACGGAGAGTTCCGGTCCTTGATTCTGATTGGCTGAGCCGCGTTCGAAGCTGTTGTAAATTACTCTACAAACACACACCTTTGTGTACCTGTTTACGTTTGTGTGTTGCTCGGCAGCCACTTAGCTGGAACCACAACTGATTCTGAGGAACTACGTTGTTTGGTGGAAGAATACTGTTTTTATTAATATCATTACACTTTATTTGCTTTGTGAAACCTTACTACGTGTATGGAATAACCGTTTTATAAAAGCAATAAGCCCCGTGAAGCCGTGGTTTACAGTGAATTTATAACAGCTAAGGGAGTTTTAGGCACTCCGCTTCGTGTTGTGCCTAACAACGCCCCTTAGCTGTTATTAATTCACTGTAAACCACGGCTTCACGGGGCTTATTGCTTTATTATAATAAAAAAAGTATCAAAGATACTAAAAAAAAATCACTGTTCTGATAGTAGTGTAATTGTGAAGTGAGTTACGATGTTTGGGTTTGAGATCGTTCTCTGTGTGTGTCTCAGCTTTCTGATGGGGGCGTCCTGTGGTGGCGGGAACATGAAGGTGGATGATGCTGTATATGAGTCTCTGGGGCTCCGCCCCCGACACGCCTACTCCATTCTGGACGTCAGGGATGTTCAGGGCTACAGGTCAGACACGTTCACAACATGCATTCTGTGAAATAAGGGTTTGTTCACCCATACGACAGAAAATATGATATATAGCACTCTATTTTGTTGGGGTGTAAGTTAACTGTACACGTATTCACACTAAAAATGTTCAGTATGGGTCTTTTTGGGTCAGTAAGCAGTGTTGTTTTAACCACTGTATATGCAGAAGTTAATTTGAATCTCCTCATTTCAATGACACAATATCAATTCTTAAATCATAAGATTGATTATTTAGTCTGTGCTGTTTCAGTGAATAAAACTTTATTAGACATTATATAGCGCACCTCCCGTCCTATAATCGCAATAAGCTTTGCGTTTAGTTAATTTCGATAAGAAACAAAATCTCATCTTTCACGCTCTGTCAGTTTTATGAGGAAATTCAAGCTATAAATGGCATTTTGTTGCTCTTTGATGTGTCGTGACCGATCGCTGTATAATCGTGATGATCCCTTTCTTTTACTACTAGTTAGAGCATGAAATAAACATGAATAAGACATGAAATAAGTCACTCATTTAGTGTTTCAACTGCAGAAACACCTCAATAAATCAGCTTGTAAAAAAAAATAGCATTACATTTACCTCAGGCAAGTCATCAGTGTCCACAACTCATTTGTTCGCTAAAATAATGAAGTCTAGGGAAGAGTGTTTCGCTAAATATATGCACTGTATTAGCCTATATATTTATTATATTTACTTAACCTGTTAGTGATGTCTTAATTACTTAATGAAAAAGTTATGATTATGAACAAATTGGAGAAACAAATGTATAATTAGATTTAAGTTCATGTAAAAACTGTATTATGTATAATTTACATTTGTATACAATTTTTTTTAGTTCAGTTTTGATTATTATATTTAAAAATAAATAGCAATTGAATTTAATACTTTGGTTTGCTTTGTTAATCTTTAATATCTAGTAATATGCAATTAATACTTTACAGCATTAGCTGTAGAGATTTATTTTTTTATTTTAATTGAATTCATTTAAAGACAGAGCCACAATTTGTACAGTAATCCACTGTTTAATGAAAGAGTACGTTTATTTGCGGTTTCTGAAAACATACCAAACCATGACTTCAAAACCAAACATTTTTTGTGTGTACCATTACACACCTACTGCTTTGCATATAATGAAAATAATTCATGCAGTTATGCCAAGAACAAAAAAGTAGTCCATCTAGGTTTTCTGAGGTCATGCAGTAGCATGCATGAGGAAGTGAGTTGTTTTTATATCGGGAGCCACGCGTGCACTCATTATGACAGAACAATAAAAGCGCCGCTCCCGTGTCAGTAAAGCAGGACAGAGCTGTAAATCTGGAGCGCTTCTCGTTTGTGTTCAGGCTGCTGCGTTTGAGGAACCCCTGGGGCCGGTTCTCCTGGAACGGCTCGTGGTCAGACGAGTGGGCCGACTGGCCGCAGCACCTGCGTCACGAGCTCATGGCTCACGGCAGCAGCGAAGGCGTCTTCTGGATAGAATACGGAGACTTCATTAAGTGAGTCATTAAGTGCTTCATCTGTGTTACATTGACCTTTAATCTGAGATGAGCTTCATCAGAGCTTTCCATAAATAAAGAGCACCTCATTAGTGGTCAGAAGTGGTTCAGAAGTGGTGTGAATGTGCCGGAGGTGGATGGCCTGTGTATTTGTATTGTATTATATTATGTTTGTTTTTTTCTCTGAAAATTGTTTAAAAATGTTTTAAAATTCATTCAATTTTAAATTCATTTTAAATTATATAAACATATATAAATATGCTGTATATTATTTGTATTTTATTATGTAACCTATTCGATTTCGATTTTTTTTATTATATACATATGAGCAAATGAGATGAACTTGGGGGGAAAAAACAAGACATTTTACACCTTATTTATTTATTTTAAATTATTAAAATCTACATTAATAAAAAAACATATTTTATGCTATTTTTATATTGCAAAAAAGTAAAAATATTGCTTGAAAATATGCTTTTTGAAAACAAAAAATATGCGTTAGAAAAAATTATATTTAAATTAATTAATTTTATTTCATATAAACATTATTTAATGATGACATGAGACCTGCTTTAAATTTGAAAGACTTTTTACATGATATTTAGGCTATTGAAAATATTACGTTAACATTTTAATTGTACATATTATTTAATGGTGGCAAATGAGATCTACATACATTAGAAAATGAAAAAAGAGACTTATTTACATCGTATTTATTACAAATGTTAAAAATATATTAATTTTATGTTAAATGCATATTTAATAAATACAAACAATATCTACATAAATGTAAAAAATAATGATTTATTTTACACCATATTTGTTACGGATATTATATTACAATTCAGTTACTTTAATATGATATACATTTTTAATATTTAATATTATTTTCAAATTTATGTAGATTTCATATGCTATAATTAAAGACATTTAACAATTCTTATTAAAAAATATTAAGATATGTATAATGTTGGCAAAGGAGATCAAATGATTTACATATTTATTAGATTTTAAATAATTATTTTAACAATTGTTACATTTTATAAACATTTTATACATGCTCTTTAATGATTGTAAATGAGATGGACAAAATAATTATATTTGTGTAAACATTATTTTAATTCCAATCAGGTATTGTTATCAGCTGATGCACTAATTGGCCAAAATACACAATCATCCACCAGACCAGCATATCAGTCTATCATTAGATCTAGTTAAATAACTAGAGCACAAAAACCCTGTTATTTAATTTGTGGTGATTGTATCTTATGTGTGCAGGTACTTTGATTCGGTGGATATCTGCAAGATTCATCCTGATTGGCAGGAAGTTCGTCTGCAGGGCTGCTTCCCGTGCCGGGCGAGTAAACCGGTGACCGTCACCGCCCTCACGGTCCTGGAGAGAACCGCGCTGGAGTTCGCCCTCTTCCAGGAGGGCAGCAGGTAAATAACAGCCAAATGAATAAAGAATGAGACATGAAATATTAATCATGAAACAACAACAACATAAGTTCTGTGTCACTCCTCCAGGCGTTCGGACACGGCCGACAGTCACCTGTTGGATCTGTGCATCATGGTCTTCCGGGCCTCGTTTGGGAACGGGAATAAGCTGGTCCTGGGACGTCTGCTGGCGCACAGCAAGCGCGCGGTGAAGAAGTTCGTAGGATGTGACGTGATGCTGGAGCCGGGAGAGTACGCGGTTGTCTGCTGTGCCTTTAATCACTGGCAGATGGACCTGACGGGCGCTTTGACACCAGGTACACAAACACACACACGCTTAATTACAACAAACACTCTGGAATCATTAAGCAGGAATCATTTTAGATGAGATAAAAGGGTTAGTTCACCCAAAAATGAAAAGTCTGCCATTAATTACTCACCCTCATGTCGTTCCAAACCCGTAAGACCTTCATTCATCTTCAGAACACAAATTAAGATATTTGATGAAATCCGAGAGCTCTCTGACCCTCCCATAGACAGCAACACAACTGAAATGTGACCCTGGAGCACAAAAGCAGTAAGTCAAGTCGCTGGGGTATATTTGTAGCAATAGCCAACAATACATTGTATGGGTCAATTATTGATTTTTCTTTTATGCCAAAAATCATTAGGATATTAAGTAAAGATCATGTTCCATGCAGGTATTTTGTAAATTTCCTTCTGTAAATATATCAAAACTTAATGTTTGATTAGTAATATGCATTGCTAAGTATTTCATTTGGACAACGTTAAAAGTGATTTTCTCAATATTTAGATTTTTTTTGCACCCTCAGATTCCAGATTTTTATTCAGCTTCAGCTTATTTATTCAGCTTTCAGATGATGTATACATCTCAATTTCGAAAAATTGACCCTTATGACTGGTTTTGTGGTCCAGGGTCACAAATGTTCCCAGTCCCAGAAACGTAGCAAGGACATCAGTGGCTCATCAGTGGTTTTACGAGAATACTTTGTGTGCAAAGAAAACAAAAATAACAATTTATTGAACAATTGTTCTCCCCCGCAACACCGTCTTCCGCCGTTATCGAGAGTAGCACAATGCATGCGCGCACTTTCCTCTGAACGTAATCAGCGTTGTTTATGTTCATTGGATTACGTTCAGGGGAAACGCGCGCATGCGTCTTGATACTCTCGATAATGGCGGAAGACGGTGTTGCGGGGGAGAAGAATTGTTAAATAAAGTTGTTGTTTTTTTCCTTTGCGCACAAAAAATATTTAAGTTGGACTGTTTGGACATGGACTGTTTACCGATCTCCTTGCTACGTTTCTGGACCTGGGAACATTTCAGTTGTGTTGCTGTCTATGGAGGGTCAGAGAGCTCTCCGGTTTCATCAAAAAATATCTTAATTTGTGTTCCGAAGATGAACGAAGGTCTTACGGGTTTGGAACGACATGAGGGTAATTAATGACAGACTTTTCATTTTTGGGTGAACTATGCCTTTAAGAAAGCATGCGAGTGTTTTTATAGTGTCCAGCCCCACCAACGATCGCAGACCCAGTCAGGATTTCCCAGGGTACATCTTAGCCATCTACAGCTCCAGACAGGTGATGGTGGAGCAGGTGGAGGCCACACACACCACGCTCGCCGACGCCATCATCCTGCTGACGGAGAACAAGGGAGAGAGACATGAGGTATGGAGAACTTTCACTATCATTTCTCCAGTGCATGAAGATAAATATGTAAATGGCTAACACTTTAGATTATGGAACACATGTTCACTATTAACTAAGAGTTTCCTTCGCCAAACTCCTAATTTGCTGCTTATTAATAATTAGTAAGGCAGTTGTTAAGTTTAGGTATTGGGTCGGGTTAAGGGATCTAGAATATGGTCATGCAGAATAAGGCATTAATGTGCGCCTAATATGCATGCTAATAAGCAACTAGTTAATACTGAGATTTGTTTCTTTTTAAAAAAGTGTTACTGTATAATTTTATTAATTCTGTTTTTTTTTTATTTGCGAGGAATTTTTAGAAATCACACTGAGCAGAATAAAACTGTTATATGATGAGAAAATGGGTTTACTTTGTATGTTTATGATTTCATGTAATTTATTGAGATTGTCATTTCAAACTTTTTTTAATAATAGGAATAAATAATGTAATAATTCCTATTATATATATTGTTATGCATTTATTTGATGCATGTTATTACTATAGAATAGTAAAAGTATTTATAGTATATTTTTATTTTGTAATCATTATATCTAATAGAATTTGTTTATAGTCATGAATAATTTAATAATTAAACATATAATTAACAAAGTTATATATTACAAATGTATATATTTAGAAGTTTAGTAATATTTTATAATAATAATTCATATATAATTAACACATAAATTATGTGAATGTAAAAGTTTTGTATATCTGTAAATATAATACACTTTTATTGCATAATCATAAATGTGTGTATGTTTGTTATCAATACTATATATTTCAATATATAGTAGTTTTTGTTATCATTACTAATTAATTTATATATATATATATATATGTATATGTATATGTACTATACATATATAGACGTTTAACCAACTGTGACAACTTCCTCTTCTGAGAAACCTGGAAATGTGAAAAGGGTCAATAATAATTAAGAGCAAGCAACGAGGAAGGCTGTGTTTTTATTCTCAGGGTCGAGAAGGAATGACATGTTACTACCTGACTCACGGGTGGGCGGGGCTCATCGTCGTCGTGGAGAACCGTCACCCGAAGTACTACCTCCATGTGTCATGTGACTGTACCGACAGCTTCAATGTGGTGTCGACCCGCGGCAGCCTGAAGACCATCGACAGCGTGCCGCCGCTGCACAGGTAAACACAGCCTCACTTCCCTGATTCCTCCAGGCGTTGCTCGTCTGACAGCAGCAGGAACGAGAGCAGGCCGCTGTTCCTCCGGCTCCAGATGGAAGCCTGCAGTGTGATCGTCAATGATAGTCCTGTTTTATTTTAGAGCGAGAACCACATGACCGCTTCACCTCTAAAGTATTCATAGCACAATCACACTCCTCTCATTCACATGATTTATCAACCCTTACAGTGCTGCTTATGCAGTTTTAACCAACACAGTTATTAATTTAAAAAGATGATGAAAGCTAATTTATTAAAATAATTATTAAAGACTATTAAAAACAAAAAAGTGATTATTTGTTTATTTATTTAATATAAAAATTATTTATTTATTTATATGAATGAATGTTTTTTTATTATTATTTATCATTTAAATAGTGTGTATATATATATAACTTTATATGTATATATATATATATATATA